TTAATAATACGCATTCGTCTTATTGCCAGTGAAACATTTTTTTCAGTAAAAATGAATATCATTGTGTCAAGCAATAATCCTAGAATCTGCAGTTCTGTATTTCTAAAAATCTCGAAAAGCATAGGGACTGCATTAGGACACGTAAATACGAGCCATTTTACCTTTGAAAATCCTCCACGACATCCCTCTCTTAGGCAGGCAGCGTCGTATGCTTTGCCGTGTTTAAATAAACTATTTAAGGACAAAATCTGAGGAATTTGCTAGCAGACCATTGCCTCATTAATTTTATGAACAGATTCGACAAAATAATTCTTCGTGAGGAGATCTAAGTGTATGTTATCATTGAACATAGTAGAAAATATCTTTAATTTTTATGTTTGATGTTTGAGTACACTGATGTATGGTTTTTTATGTAATGTATTTGTATTATGTGTGCAAATATATACCGTATGTTTCTGAGCATAAGGCGATCCGTTTTACAAGCTGAGACATACGATTCTGCTGCAAAATTTCAACCAAATCTGGAAAACTCGTACATAAGTCGAATTTAAAATCTCCTCATAAATCCAGTTATATATCGCTAAAAGTCTGAATAATGGGTCATCTAACTTATCATATAAGCTGAATGTGAACGGGGAGTCTTCATCCATTCGAAAAATAAGCCAAAAATGATCGTCCGATCGTTCAAAAGATGTTGCATAGCAATGCTATGGTCAGAACTGAAGGTTATATTATCTACAAAGTATTTGATGACGATCCTTAATGATGAACTGGAGGGATTTGAATGGTTCATGCAGACTTGACTGTAGCAGTAATTTTTTTTTTCGGAATGCAAGAAAGGAACAGAGAACTAGAAGCTAACTTTAATCATCCTTTACAAAAACTAAAGTGGCGTATTAAGAACACGGATACATAAAACCAAAACGAAGATCTTCTATGCGTGTTACGATGTCATGTTTATTGACTATTGGCAATAAACCAGTTAATCGCACTGCTTGACGAGGGTTTTTTTTTGGGGGGGGGCGGATCAAAAATAGTTGACGGGAAAATACGTAAGTACCTCCCAATTCTCAGTAGAAAAACAAAATTGCTTTAAATTTTGAGTTTATACTTTCTTGATTTATGTGAATTATGCTGAAAGGCGCCAACAATAAAAAATATGAAGATATACTGTAAGAAATTCTGTAAGATTTGTTTCAAAAATCTGTTTTCAGGATAACATCATTAAGTAAGAAATTTTTTACTTTTTCATTGTGACACGAGTCAAAATATGTGAATATGGCAGTATTTCTGTCGCTGAATCCAAATATGTAGACAAAATTTTCTCCTTACATAAAAGATTTTAGTGACACTCAGTTTCAATTGATATGGGCATCGATTAAAAAGATCATTTGAAATTGTATGACTTCTGTAATTATCTTGAGGAAGAACTCTGAGTACGGCAGAAATCAGCAAGCTTAATGGCATTTGAATAGCTTTACTTGGCATTAAAAATTTACGAGGGAAATCTCTAAGTTTATCGCGCACTCTTCTACGATTAGTAGGATAGGGGAAATGAAAAATGTTGAAGTTCTAACTAACATATTGTATCTCATAGGTTCGTAGGACTTTAGAAGATAGTCCATTTTTATTTGCTAATCGTCTGCACTCCGACTGTCTCCGACTGTATTTGCTAATCGTCTGCACTCCGTCTGCACTCCGACTTTGAAGGCACGTGGGATTAGCGCTCAAACTTCACTTTTTGCCGCTTTTTTCTTACAGAAATGGCTGCTAGAAAACGTTCAGCGATTATCTTGATTATTTAATTAAATTATTGAATTATTAATTAGACTGATTATTAATTAGATTTATTGAATCTGGTACAAATACTGTGAAGTTGGACTTTGCCTTGAACCCTGTTCTGAACTCTATCGTACTAAACTGCATTTCTAAGCTATTTTTCCCTCAGCGCTTTATATTTTCTTAAATTTTATACATTTTACTTTTTTATATTATGCGATAAATAGAAATTAACTGTAATTCGACTGAAATTTGTTAAAAAAAAGAATTTTTTTGGTGATAACATCTGAAATTGGTTTTTCTGGCAACTTAGTTTCTCATGATAAAAATGTATATGAAAAATATTTTCTAGAAAGAAAAAGTGCACTTTTCAGTTCTCCGATATATATATAGATTTAAAATATGAAAAAAAAAATACATAACTTTGGAAGCGATTTCGGTTCACAAATTGAGCAGTCAGAGAGTTAAATTGCTGAAAGTAGTTGATTTAAATAAAGTTGTAATTTGAAAAGTAATTTAAAGACATTATACCGCATCTAGTGGCAAACCTCTGAGATATGCCAATTTGGCAAGCAAGGTCATGATGATAAATGATATCTATATACTTTGAAATAGCAATGCTTTGACTGGCCGCATAAATAATAAATGTCATTGTAACGTCAACGGAACGAGTGCAATGGAACAATAGTGCTAAAATCGAAAACTAAGCTATAAACACTTTATGATACTAGCGATAGATGCTAGCATGTTTGTATGTGAATGGAGTGTTAAAAATGTAAAGTTTCTATTAAATTAACATAAAGGAAAAAACAATTAAAAAGTAAATGAAGACATAATATTATATAAAATAGTACTGTTATAACAGTACTATTTTATATTTGGAATTATTTATTTATAGTCATAAATAATTCCAAATATTATTTTAAATAAATTTAAATTACTGTGCTAAGAAGACTTTCTAAAACTTATCTAAAAAAGATAGTCTAAACGGCGCTGCAACTTAATGTATCTTCTCTCAATAATTTAGATCCAATACTTTATATGTTAGCCTATTCTTGCTATTAATCAAGTTTTACCAAATAAAAAATAAATAAGAAAGTTTACTTTTCAAAAATTGATTTTTATTTATTTATAATTTTTGAGGTTTAAAACCTATTTTTAGCTTATTGCTTAGAGAAACTCATAAAGTTAAATACTCGAAATATGGCATTTACATTCTGGAATTATCGTGTTAAGTAAATTGAATGGAATTAATACATATATTGATAATATCCTTATGATTGAAAAATATTCTGCGTAGACTGCGACGAAGTATCAATCATATAAACTGAGTTAATTTCTGTGCTTAATTTTTTTTGTTATTAAACGGATGTGCAAAGAAATACGCCGAGGTAAAAGGGCAAATTACCAATGCATAATTTTTTTTTATTCTATTAAGTATTTTTAAATGATAGATTTAACAAAAAATATACATTGCTTCATGCAGAACAGTTTTTCTATGCCGAAAACATGTAATATTACCATATTTTAAATCTATACCGAAAAAGAAGAGCTCTTAATGAGTTTGGTTTATTTGGAGTATGGCGAAACGAATAAAGGCTGTCTGCCAGTGGTAAGGGATCTACGAAAACTATTATACAGCGAACCAGTTCGCCGAGATTTGAGCCTAGGTGAAACTATCAATGTTTAGGGACTTTACAGCTAGGTCGTTGTGGACTGAAGAGTTCTTGAACAATGTATTAAAGAAAATATAAGTTACGATACTAGTAAACACAAAAGTGTGTTGAATTATAGATATACATGTTTAGTAAATGGGAGTTCCATTTATATATATGCCATTATGAAATATTATGAAAATAGCATAAAAATAGCAATGAAAGAAAGAAATGAATTTAAACCGTTGTAATATAAATTAATTTAAATGTATAACATTAGGAGTGTCTGCTATTGATTCCAATACTGCTGAAAGATTATAAATAGGATATATTATAAATCCCACGAACTCTGTGTTATAAATTACAACAGTTAGAAAAAATATATTAGCGTGATTCCACCCTCTTTCTTTGGAAATAATTTCATTGAAGCCCCAAACTAGATTGGAAAATAAGCTGCACACTGAACATTAATCTGTGCCAAGGCGTTAGAAGCATCTGTTAACTAGAGTTATGAACTATTAACTGGATTTATGAACAGAATTTTTAAAATTAGAATTATTTACCTAAATTGATAGTTTACCATCTAAGAAGTTTTATTAATATTTATTTCGTTAAGAAAACTAATTTAAACTACTCTACAAATTAATATCAGTATCTTCTCTCAAATCCAATGTTTGATATATATATATATATAATATATATATATATATATCAGTTTTATGTATGTCACTGATCAATCAGTTTTTTGTATGTCAAAACTGATACATATACATCAACAGCTAAAAGCTACGACTTCAAAATTTTCGAATCCCTGTGAGGCACAAACAAGTTCTGACACATTGTTCTTTTATGTGTTATAAAACTACAATAGGAGTGTAAAAGAAATTCGTTTTTATTTTAATATATACCAGATTTTCATATAATATTTGTTTTATTTGCACGGTTTTCACAATATCTGAAAAACGAAATTATAGGGTTGTAGTCTGAATCAGGTATCAAATTTATAAGAGTAAATGACTATTTATAGCAACTATGCTCGTTCTGGAAATCCAAGTTCTTAAAAAGATCGGAAAGGGAAAACTAAGTTGCTTAGTTCTTCTTTGTTCTATTTATGCTTTGTATTTTAAGTGGAGGAGGAAAAAGTTGGGTATTGTTCGTTAGTGTTTTGGAGTTAGTACATAGGTAAGCCCCCCACTCAGTTAAATCTCGCGCACTTGGTAGAGTATCGTAAAAATTGAAAGTAAAATTAAAACGTAAATGAAAATATTTATCGTAATTCAGTTGTAGTACACTTATATATAATATATGTAATTTAAATATATTTGTAATTTAACTATATATGTAATTTAAATTCTGAAAAGACCGCACATTCTTATAAAGTATTTATATATTATCAAATGACATCACTCAAAAACGTGTAGAAACAAATCTATAAATATCTTGGATCGTTTATTCATTTTTGATGATATAGTGCTTCTATGAAATATTTTTGTTTGTAATTATAAAATATTGGGCATGTTAATAAGTATTTTATTTCTTTTGTAAAAAACGTATTTTCCTCCCCAGGCGGTTATCAACAGCACTATAACGCCAAACATGACCTTTACGAAAACATCGCAAAAATTTGGCCAGTGGTCAGACATCAGGGCTAATACAGTTTATGGTTTGGGCTTTGCATCTGAACCCGAGCTTAATAAGGTAGGTTGCATGTAAGATTTTCCCCTCATTTTTTAAACATGAGTATTTTATGTTCAATTTATTTATTGCTTTATATGTATCTGTATATGTGCTCGCTTGTACATACGTATGCGCAGACAGGATGTTCTAAAGAGGTAGCTATGTACTTTTTCTTACTTTAAATATATATCCTAGATATGCACTTTCAGTTCTAAAGTTTCTTAAAATAAGCTCGAAAATTTTATGAGAATAGTTTCAGCATTCAGGTGTACCGGTTTTGAAAATACAAAATTTAACCTTGTTTTAGTCGCCGTAGAGAAACATTCCCAATTAGTATGTAGTGTCCAACAGGTGCACTTCTGTGTGAAAGCCTGGAGTAGTAGTAACTACGCAAGAGAAGGGTTAAAGTACCCTTTATTAGCTCTTTAAAATTTACAATGCGTCAACTCGACGCTAACAAACTTCGCCTCTGCTTGGGAGGTAACTGAAAATTAAGTAACGAAACTAAAATTTGAAGATATTAGCAAGAGATAGAACTAACCTACAGGGTTCAGCGAGATCCCGTTACTTAAACCCTTCGAAACTAGTGGCAGCAAGTAAATGCAATCAAGCCACGTGAACTAGCAATAAGGCAAACGTATCTCCAGCAGAGATGGCGGTTGTAGCCTGTCTTTTCTACTACCGAAACTCGGCTTTTAAATACTTTCTCAAAGTAGAAATTTGCATTCCTTCACGTGTGCTACAAAATTTAAATATTCTGGCACTAACAATTAGGGGAATGAAGGCTTATAGGAAAGTTTAAACTTTAACTTGTTAGTTAAAATATAAATCCCTACAAGTAAAATATTCATTATGGTTACTACATTGAAATATATACATGCATTCTTTGTGCGCAAATTTCACGAAGATTACTGAGCAAATTTGCTGACTTAATAAATTTTCAACCTGTGCTCTTGACCGGAAGTAAAGTATTGTATTTACTCTACTGTCATATTTTAGTTTCCTAGACTTTATACATATATTCAAGCGATAAGAACCTACTCCCGCATACGCGTACCATACATGTGTTTGAGCACACGTGGATTTTAACCGGTATTCGCGGTATTTCGTATCCACCAGTTGTTAAAGCATAAATATCGTACCCAGATTTCTATGGTTTCTGATGATCTTTCTTGTAAAATACTTTTTATTATTATTTATTAACAGAACTGCACCCGTGAGCTTTATGATTACCAAACAAACGTTTATTTTTCTAAACATTTGTTTAAAATAACCAATATTGGTTGGCGACTTTTCATGTGGATACGGATAATCAGAATGTACCAAAAACAATCGTGAAGCCAATAAGTGACATTGACATACATACTTATAATGTAGTAATATTTAACACATTCAATTATATGAGCTTTCCGATAAGTTGAATTTTTCCTCTTTTTACCAGAAATAGAATACACAGCGTGTAATCTTCTCCTGTCAATTTTCAAGCGCTAAAATTAATGAAAAAGTTAAAAATAAATAAATTATCGAAGAAAATATTCGAGTAAATACGTAATTCACAGATGATTTTCCGACATTTTCGAAAAGGTGAAGGAGCAATTACGAAACAAATATTGATTAAGGAAACAGTGTTGGGTAAATCAGAATTAATAATTAATTGTAGCTGGCCCAAGATATTATTAATTTCTTTTATCTCGTCGAAATTTGCAAAAAAGAGAACTTTTTACGTTTAAGTTATCAGCAGATATTGAACATTGGTTTTTTAACTTTTTGCTCTAAATGGCGAATAAGAAAATTTTAAATTTTATATTTAAATTGGTTAACATTGAGTGCTATAAGTATTCTCATAAAATTTCGTACATTGTTTTGAGAAACTTTGTAACTGGAAGTACCTGTCTAGGATCAATAGTTAAGGAAATGAAACTTGTAACTATCTTTTTTGAACTCGTGGTGTGTGTGTATATATATAATTTATTATTGAAGAAGGCATTTCATATATCATCTCTAAAGAACAGAAATTTAATTAAAGCGATATATATATATATATATATACTCGCATACACACCTAGATGAATATAAAAAGTTATGCACCAAGAAAATTTTATCCGAAAGAGACGAAAATCGGTAAATGTGATATGCGTGTAATGAAACGCTAACAGTATCATAGGAATTGAATGCTTTATTCAAGAAGGACTGCAAGAACAAAAGAATCAGTAATGCGTTGGCTTGGATCACCTCTGGCCCTGAAGCAAGCTGTTATTCGCCAGGACATTGACTTGTAGAGTTGACGGATATCTTCCTATGAGATTGTTTGCCATATACACGCTCGAACTGTCGAGTTAGATCGGCACGAGTCAAGGACTGTGGAAGATGCTTGCTTATCAAAGCCCAAACATGCTCTTTGGGGAAGAGGTATTTCGATCGTAATGGCGAGGGAAGTATTGGAGGAAGACAAGCTCTAGAAAGTCGTCCCATGCGCGGCCGGTCATTATACTGTTGAAATACAAGCCCAGGGGTCCATGAAATGAAGGGCAATATTACGGGGCGCAGAATCTTGTCGACGTACTAATGCGCCCAGAATCTGACGGTGTGCAGTGGTGAGGGGCAGTCAGCACAATGGCCTCCATGACCTCAGCCCCATTTCGCTGAGTCGCATGTCAGTGCAGTCTCTAGTGTCACGGTTACACGTTAGATCATTGATAAGGACGTATCGGTGACTGTGAACGCCGAGCGGACGATTAGTCTGTCCTCGCCTTCTGTCGTCGCTCGGTCGACCGCTAAATTCTTGACTCTCTGTACAGCCTTGGCTCAACCAATCATGTCAACATGCTGAATGATAGCATTCCTATGACCCAGATGTCTAGCGATTCTGCAATTTGATCACCCTGCCTCCTTTAGTTCAACTGCACTCTCAAATGGTGACATCTGCTCATACTGTTCAGGAACCCGTCGGCGAAGCATGGTGTAGTCTACGTCGGTTGACGAAACCACATTCACGTGAAAGTTTGCATTCGAATGACGTATGTTTTATACACCATCTTAATGTTCTTTTAGAATATACCAGCTAGTCGCTCATTGGCCGTCAAAAGTTAATCATTTGCATATTCTTTTTTAAGGTACAGGCATATGCAGTTTTGTTAACTCCTTCTTGGTGGTTCTCCTTTTATGTTAAAGATTGTATATTAATTAGTTTGCTGCATTTAAAATAGATTTCTTATTTTGGTAAGCTATGATTTAAATTTTAGTTTATTAATATCTGGTGAGCAAAGATTATATTAGAAGTTTTGTATGCATCTGTCTTTCAAATTTATTTTCCACCGATGAACAACTGTCTTAGTTTGTTTTTTTAAAGCAAAATTAATTGTGAAAATTAAATTTTGTGATTTTTCTCTTCCATGTTATTGATCGTGTTTCCTGGTTTATGGACTGCGAAAGTGGCTGATATTGGTATTATGTACCTTTTATTAATTACTAATCATCAAGTGAATTGTTATTGGTTTGAGGAAAAAAATTCTTAAATTTGTTTCCGTGGTTCTTGAAAATGTTATGCAAGACTTTGATATCAAAAAGCAATATGTCAAAACCTAGCGCCTTTTTAAATCCAACCTGAAGAGAAATTAGCCAACGTATGATTTAAATTAGACAAAAAAAGTAACCTTAAATAGGCTTAGATTTTGAGTAAAAACCTATGTCGATTGAGGGTGACGAAAGAAGTCCCTTCGTCTAATCATCCTCAAAATCTTCATCTATCTAAGGTTTTCTTTTTCTTTCTTTCTTTTTTTTGGGGGGGGGCTAATTGTAAACACTTTTAAAATGTATCAAGAAGAGCTTTTTAGTGGCACTGTTTCTGATTTTCTCATTTGTCTTAGACGGATATTATTTAGTATCTGTTCTTAGATGTTTGCCATTACTGATGAACTGTTTGGATGCTTTCCAGTTTCTCGCACAATGGATCTTTTTACTACACTCCTAAAAGTAAACGACTGAAGAAACAACAACATCATGTTTAACCCTGGCTTTATTCCTACTTTGCATTCGCCATGTTTCTCATTGTCATGTCACTTCTGTAATACCTAAATAACTTATCTGGATTTGGCTAGATATAAGAAAATGAGAATATATGTTACTAATTATTCATGTCTATACATCTAATCACGTCTTTGTGTTCTGGTGGTAGTAATGCTAAAATGAAGTCGGTAATCATAGAGGGTAAAAATCGTTAAGAATTTTATGAGTCTGAAAATGTAAACAATTTTTTTAAAAAAAAATTGCATATTTTTCTTTTGCATGTGTTTTCGCTGTGCTATTTTAACTAAGTCACCAAGTTTTATTGTCAAATGTGAAATATCCTTAGGATGGTAAATGCTTTTTTTTATCTTCTAAAACCTTTTAAAAGGTTGCAAATTTTGTAAATCTTCATTTTTTTGATTAGTGTATTTAAAAAACGGTTTTCTGTTTTATTAAAATTCTATAGATTATTATAGTTAAGAGATATTCTTATTCATTTCCTTATCACGGGATGTTTTCAGTTCATTATTTTTTGAATTTGTGATCCAAAAATGGCATTTAAACGTTAAATTTTAAGATTTTACTTGATTAACATTTCCCGGAGGTTGTGGTAGTCTTTTGTACCCTATCTCGGATATAGATGGCAGCACCATCTGAATTTGTTTACTCGCTGAGTAAGGCGAGAATTCCTTTCCATTATTATTATTAAAATGCATCTCTCATCTCAAAAATTCTTAGATTTCAGTAAAATTTCTGTAGATTTCATTGATTTAGCGGTTGCCGATTGAGCGAATAATTTTTAAGACCAATTTTTAGACGCTATCGTGAATTCGAGAAACGAATGTGCTTACAATCACGGAAGTTTAGGAGCGGTCACAAAAGTGTGCAAAAGAACTTTACGAATAAAAGTGACATTAAGACGAATTTCGAAATTTGTGTATTTTCCCCTGAATATTGCTAAGAAAGCAATTTGGACTTTCTGCGATGAGAAAAATTATTATTATTCATTTGGGCGA